GTAGAAATTTCGGCAGGATTCTCGTATGGATCTGGTCAGATTTTCCAATTACTTACATGAATGTTTCTACACAACTTTAGGTTATATTATTTATTTTTATTTATAATATTATTATATTTATTATACATGTAATTCGAATGTAATAATAATAACAAACTTTAACCAAATTATGTAATCAATGATAATAGAATTTTTAAATGCTTTCAAAACGATTACTAATCATATTTGTAGTAACTTTAAAATTTTCAGTTTATGTTGCACCTTTTTCGAAGTTTATAATACTAAATAGTGTGTTCGCTTTTATTAATATTGTTATTTATATTCAATAAGTAATATAAAGTAACCTAAGATTATGATTGTCATATAAAAGTTCTCTATAGGTTTTCATAGGGTCCTCATAAGGCTCTCGCTATATTTCACCTTTCAAACTTTTTAACATAATTTGAGCGTCGCTGAAAAAGCAAGGGCCTAATTATTTTTCCACATTTTTCCCTACTAGAAACCTACTAAACTTCAACTTCAGGTAAGGAAAATAAATTAGGGAAAATATACTGGTTACTTTAGTTGATTGGAAATATTGTACGTAGATAGTAAGAAACTTTACTAATTTAGTGCCGAAAGTAGTAAATAATACAAAAACCCCTTATTTCCGGCTTTGCAATGTGAAAATTGTAAATTCTAATCTGATTTTATGTAAATATTACTACGCTTGGTCTCTCCGTGTACTTTGACAAGATAAGCAAGAGCATTCATAAAGAACCTTTTTTAAAAAAGGTATATAAACTTATTTATTTCTAGCAACAGTATTGTCAAAATTAAAATAAAAGCAAAAAAATTTCTTCAGAAGTAGAAGACTTTCGAAACAAATTTTTCGCTAATATTATTATAATGAATTATCTAATTTAAATTTTTAATTAAAAAAACGTGTTTCAAAAGTTTTCTACTTCCGAAGAAGTTAAATTTATAAAATTTATAACTTCCACAGTTTGCAACTAACAACAAAATAAAAAATAGGTTTTCTTATTTTTCATATACACAGAAATAGTGCAAAAGCGTAAATCAGAGATCCCTTTTTGGAATGTCGGTGCACAAAGGTAGTGGTGCGAGTGCTGAACTAGACATGACTGACCCATGAATATTTGCCAATTGTCAATTAGCCGGACTGATATTAATCCGCAATGCATGAAAAGACTGATTATCCTAACGAATTGTTAATAAGCTTAATAGTTATGTAACAGAATTGTCATGTGACAGTCCTGAAGGGTGACTAAACTGACATTTGAACAACTTGACATGTAGTAGATTTCTTATTTGACAGGCCTGTCACATAATAAATTTGTCATTTGACAGACCCGTCATGTTACAGAATTGCCACTCGACAGACGCAAAATGTAACAGAATTGTCACGCTACAGACCCGACAATCAACAACAAAACTTTGTTAAATGACAATTAGCTTAATTTAGTACTTTGTACCATTGGGCTCTGCTAAAACTTTGCCCGTTTATAAATAAATAAATAAATAAACAATTTTGTTAAATATCAATTATGGTATCAAATCACAATTCTGACAGCTGCCAGGACTATTTTGGAATAACGACAATTCTGATAAATGTCGAATCTTTCACGTAAGATTTTAGTTAAGTTTCAGGTCTGTCAAGTGATAATTTGTTAGAATATCAATTCTGTTACATAACATGTATTACGGTTAAATGACAGTTCACTTACTTGACATTGTTTATAAAGCCCAAATTTTTTCCTAGTAACATTCGAAACAAATTGTTCTAAACAAAAAGAAAATTTTTAATGAAAACTTTACTTTTACTGCACGATAGGGGAGAGGGAAGATTACAGTATAGTAGTGTTTGTCTGACTGGACTTAGAGGAAGGATTCCCTACTCCGTATAGTGGGGGATGACTCAGGATCAAAATTTTGCCGGGACAATAAATTAAAAAATCTATTTTGTTAATAAGCACACCAAACTGTGCGGTGAGATTAGTGACGGGCTATAGTCACTATAGTGGCTATAGTAATAATAAAAATTTCCCAGATGTCGGATTCACGGTACCCTAGACGTTGCGCGATAAGTTTACTAAAACACACGAGAAAATATCCTGAAAATAAATTAATTCAATTGGTTTAACCAAATTAAAAAAGTTTTCTTTGAACCTTGCGAAATGAATGATACGTGGAACGATCTAAATTTTGACTCTTTGTCCTTAAACAGTAAAAAAGCACTAGAGATTCGCGGAACTACCTTTCCCTAAATATGTCTTTCAGATGCAAAAAAATTCTTGCCCAACTCAAACTACTAAATAAATATGTTTGTAGAGTTTACTTTGATAAAAATAAAATAGTATTCAATGAGGAATCCCTTTGTGAATCGTGCCAACTGGAAAACGAGAGCTTATTCCATATTTTGAATGACTGCCCAGCGTGCAATCACTTGCTGAGCGATTAGGTAGATTATAGCGGCAATAGAAATACTCCCTTTAAGAGCTGGATGTCTGTTTTTGACTCCCATGATTGTTCCCAAATAAAAAAATTTGTAAATATCCTCTTCAAATACCCTTGCATGTAGGGAACATGCATTGGAGTGTTAGTATCCGTATTTGTGTTCAACGCCCGCAAACCTTAGTTACTACGTATTATGTATACAATTAGCGTTACTCCCTTGTATTCACTAAAAAGTGATGTAAGCAAGTGAACAAATAAATAAATAAATTTATAAATTGAGCTTTTAATCTAAATCACTACAATGAATTAATTGCTTTTTCCCAGAAAGCATCTTTACCTCGAAGGCGTACTTCATCCCAGAATAATAGTCTTTCTAGAATATTTTTTTCTTTTATTTTCAGGCCTTTATTGAAGAATTCTGTTATACACTTTTGATTAAAGAAACACACCGTCACAAAAAATGAAACAGAGCACAATGTGTATGCACACTGTAAAATTTTTGAAAATTCGAATATTTTCTTTCATCCTTATTATTGAAATCTTTGCAACTAATCTTTGCACGAAAAAACTTTGTTCAAGAATTATTCCTGAATTTATTTAAAAATTGAGGATATGGGGAAAAACATAAAATGCTGCAGATTCTTAGGGTGGATTATTATTTTAAGCTTTTAGAGACGAACTTTTGTGAATTTTCAACGAAGAATTTCTAAATTGGTTTAAGAATCGAAAAATGTGAACTGCGAGAAAAAAATTTATCTGCGAGAGTACTCGAACTTCAGACTTGATTCGTTTCACGTTCCCGACTTTTGTCCTTAAAAGCTTATACTGCTCGGCTACTGAAACACTGACGTGTTTCAGATATTATAGATGGGAAACATATATTCTACTTCTTCCTTCTTAAATAATTCAGTAATTCTTCGGTGCGCAGTGACTAAGATATTCAGTCGCAGCATCAAGAACAATTATTTCGAAGCCATTAGATTATTAGAAGAGCACCTGAGAAATTCAGGAATAATTCTTGAACAAAGTTTTTCCGTCTATAATCATTGTGCCATCCCTAAAAACAGCAATAGTATTAACAATATGTCTACTACTATAATGACGTGACATATTATCTATATATGGGGCAAAATTCCTCAACTGGCCAGGTCAAAAAATGAATTTTCTCTAAAGTTTGCTAAAATGTTACTATTATTAGTAGAAGTGTAAATATTAATTTTTTTTGAATTTGATAAAATATTTTTTGAGTTATGAAGTTTCAAAATTTTGATTTTTTTGAAAATATCTTTTTTTCAATTTAATATATTGATAAGTAAAATTAATCAAATTTAAAGTATGAATAGTGATTTTTAAAGGGGTTTCACGGGCTATAAGCTGGTGATGAAAAAAAAGTTGTTCGTCCCCTTATTTTATGTAGCCCTTCAATTTGACCTTGAAATTCAAGGTCAAATTCTTAATTTCAACATATCTCAAAATCGATGTTTTTTATTTTTTTCTAACCTATCCCAATCGAAAGCTTACCTTTTTTCCTATGAGCCATGTAAAAATCAGAGTGGGACCATGGAAATTTTTGAAGAAATTAAATATAAATCATCATTTTCTATGTAAAATAATGATAAATTATTATTTTCCTCAAAAATTTCCATGGTCCCACTCTGATTTTTACATGGCTCATAGGAAAAAAGGTAAGCTTTCGATTGGGATAGGTTAGAAAAAATAAAAAACATCGATTTTGAGACATATTGATATTAAGAGTTTGACCTTGAATTTCAAGGTCAAATTGAAATAACACAACTTTTTTTTCATCACCAGGTTATAGCTCGTGAAAACCTCTTTAAAAATCACTATTCATACTTTAAATTTGATTAATTTTACTTATCAATATATTAAATCGAAAAAAATATATTTTCAAAAAAATCAAAATTTTGAAACTCATTAACTCAACAAATATTTTATCAAATTCAAAAAAAAAATTATATTTACACTTCTACTAATAATAGTAACATTTTAGCAAAGTTTAGAGAAAATTCATTTTTTGACCTGGCCAGTTGAGGAATTTTGCCCCATATGTATATATAATTCTAATCGATATATAATAATTGATTTATATATAATTATATAATAATAATAATTGACATGTAATAATTGTGACAATGACCATTATATGATGATTTACCTTAATTTAATATTTTCATAATTGTTGCACGATGTTTGGTGCGTCTCTGTAAGCAATAAATAAATCACTCCAAACACCTTTACTCAACATTTTAATTGAATATTAAATTTGTGTATCACTTTTCGCTAAACTTAGAGAACTTTAAATTCGATTAAAATGATTTGTTCTTAAAGACAATTATTTTTCTCTCTACAAAGGGAATTATTAATATTTAGAATTTGAAATATTACAATGTAATACAAAATAAGTATTGGAAGGAACTGTAATTTAATTAATAATAAAATGTCGAGGAAAGTTGTGTATGTGGAGTGCATCAGTTTGTAAGTTGAGTTTAATGCATGTTGTTTTTGTCTGTCCTTGCATGCAGGGATTCGGTTTTGTAACATTCGCAAATAGTGCTGACGCGGACCGGGCACGTGAGAGGCTACACGGCAACGTGGTTGAGGGCAGAAAGATTGAGGTGTGCATGACTTTCTTATACTTATATAAATATATAAATACACAAATATATGTATAAAATTTAATCAACTGTACCCATCTCAAAAGTAAAAGTTGTCTCTTTTAAATGCAGAAAAAAATTGGAAAAATTCTAAATTTGCCCGTTTTTTTTTATTTTTTGCCTTTAACCCTCCTACGGTTTCATTAGTTTTCAATTTTGCAGGAAAGAAATTTATAATTTTGACTATTAAAGTTTTACTTTGAAATTAAATACAACCATTCAGCTTCAAGTTACACTGAGAGTTTTATCTATAATTATGACTCTCGATTTAAATTTTACTAAAGAAATAAATGGAACTGTAGGGAGGTTACTTTCTAAATTTGAATTAGCGAAATTTTACAGATTCCCAGCGAAAAGTATACCACAGATTCCAATTAGCGCATATGCGCTAATGAATCAGTGAAATTTCACTGATATTTTAATGAAATTTCACTAATTCTCAGCGCATACCTATACGCTAATTGGAATTTGTTGTATATTTAGCGCTTATTCAGATTTAGAGAGTAAATATAGCTTAAGATAAAAGTATATACTTTTCAAAATTCAACTTAAAAAATGACCTTTTTTTCGTTTTTAAGATATTAATTATTTAATAAATAAATTAATAAAAAGTGGTATATTTTATGAACAAATTAAGTGAGAGTAGTTTTGAAATAACCCTTTTAAAGCTTTTAGTTTTAACTTTTACCAGTTTGTTAATTAATTTTTATTTATTGAACAATAAATATCTCAGAAATAAGAAAAAGTCTTTTTTCATTTTGTTTGTTAAAAATATACAACCTAAGATTTATTTTATGGCCTAAGATTATATTTTAAAAAGAAGTTCCTCTAATGCTGTTTTATAATAGCAACAAGTTGTCAAAAATCTACTGTTCAGAAAGTCTGTTAATTTGAGGTTGGTTCACTTGAACAAATGAAAAGATCCATAAATTGTTATTTTTTCACATATTTATTTAAACATTTTACTAGTTTCGTACTCATTACCCACACAGCAACGAAACTTGTAGATTGCTGCTAGTTTCAGCAATCCTCCTAAATCTAGGTTAGCAAAATTTCACTTAATTTCAAAAAGCATATATTAGTTAACCCATTAAGGACTGGATGGACAAAATTTGTACATAATGTTTAAGGACACATTTCAATCTTAAAAAAGGCCGAGAAAAATTTGTGAATATACATTTCTTATGTATCAAAAGTCGCTCTTTCAAATGGCGTTTTCAAAAGAACTGAAAAATGTTAAATAAACAATTTAAATAACAATTTTCAAGAAGAAACACGAATTTTTAAAAATTTTTTATTGGTTTTTTCAATTTTTTTATAGCTACACCCTTCAACATAACTTCCACTGTAAGAAATATCGCGTCAAAAATAGTAGGGGAACAAGTTAGGAATATTTTGAAAATTTAAATTTTTAAATGGCTGCCTCAAAATGGCGGCTAAAGTCACTTTTTTATAACAATATTATAAACAAATGGAGGAAATTTTCAAAAATAGTTAATTTTGCTTGAAATTCGTTACTCGGGGGTTTTTAGGGTCGCTGATTACGAATATAACCTTAGTTTCCCAAAATTCAAAATGGCGGATCCAATATGGCGGATGACTTTTTAAAAAATTGATCAGATTTGCTTGAAATTCGTTACTCGGGGGTTTTTAGGGTCGCTGATTACGAATATAACCTTAGTTTCCTAAAATTCAAAATGGCGGATCCAATATGGCGGATGACTTTTTAAAAAATTGATCGGATTTGCTTGAAATTCGTTACTCGGGGGTTTTTGGGGTCGCTGATTACGAATATAACCTTAGTTTCCCAAAATTCAAAATGGCGGATTCAATATGGCGGACGACTGTTTTAAAAATTGATCGGATTTGCTTGAAATTCGTTAGTCGGGGGTTTTTGGAGTCGCTGATTACGATTATAACCTTAGTTTCCAAAAATTCAAAATGTCGGATCCAATATGGCGGACGATTGTTTTAAAAATTGATCGGATTTGCTTGAAATTCGTTAGTCGGGGGTTTTTGGAGTCGCTGATTACGATTATAACCTTAGTTTCCAAAAATTCAAAATGTCGGATCCAATATGGCGGACGACTGCTTTAAAGATTGATCGGATTTGTTTGAAATTCGTTACTTGGGGGTTAGAGATTGTCAGACATAATTTGACTAAAAGTGAAATTCATAATATGAAAAATCACAAGCTTCAAACGTCAAAAAAGAGGAAATACTGTTCAAACTATTCTTGTGAAATAAGAACGTATTTATTTTGCCAGCAATGCAATCAATACTTTTGCAAGCTGTGTTTTTCAGTATCACACAACAAAGATACATAATTAAAGAAAGAAAAGTATCAACTTTTTCTATAAATCGGTAAAAAATATTTAAAAAATAAAATAAAAATAAAAAATACAAAAACAAAAAAAAAATATAAAATATAAAAGCAAAAAAAATTTAAAAAATAAAAAAAAAGATTCTCCAAAGAACGTTTACCTCCACGCGGTGAGAATCGGGCAACATTACAAATATTCCAAATACTTTAATGGCTGATTAATTTTTAATATTTTTTGTCCGCCATATTAGATCCGACATTTTGAATTTTTGGAAACTAAGGTTATAATCGTAATCAGCGACTCCAAAAACCCCCGAGTAACGAATTTCAAGCAAATCCGATCAATTTTTTAAAAAGTCATCCGCCATATTGGATCCGCCATTTTGAATTTAGGAAAACTATTGTTATATTCGTAATCAGCGACCCCAAAAACCCCCGAGTAACAAGTTTCAAGCAAAATTAACTATTTTTGAAAATTTCCTCCATTTGTTTATAATATTGTTATAAAAAAGTGACTTTAGCCGCCATTTTGAGGCAGCCATTTAAAAATTTAAATTTTCAAAATATTCCTAACTTGTTCCCCTACTATTTTTGACGCGATATTTCTTACAGTGGAAGTTATGTTGAAGGGTTTAGCTATAAAAAAATTGAAAAAACCAATAAAAAATTTTTTATAATTTGTGTTTTTTCTTGAAAATTGTTATTTAAATTGTTTATTTAACATTTTTTAGTTTTTTTGAGAACGCGATTCGAAAGAGCGACTTTTGATACATAAGAAATGTATATTCACAAATTTTTCTTGGCCTTTTTTAAGATTGAAATGTGTCCTTAAACATTATGTACAAATTTTGTCCATCCCGTCCTTAATGGGTTAATTAATCAGTAAAATTTCACATATGATTGCAAATTTCAAGCGAATTGATAAAAAAATGACACTTTTAGGAAAGATGAGATTGTCTCAGACTAACTTATTACTTATTACTTTTTTATATTTAAAAAGCTCATGAGGTATTTTGAATTTTACAAATGTGGGTGAAACGTAGAAGACGATTTCAGTAATAAATATTCATTTTAAAACTTTTAATTAATTACTTCAAATAATTAATTTAATTAATAATAATTTATTTTCTGGTTAGGTGTGCATGTTAATTATTAGTTTTATTAACCCATTAACGCCCAAATGTCCAAAATTTTTTACTGAAGTTCAAGGTAAGAATTTTTATCCTAAATGATTAGACTTTTAAAAACCCTTCAGTACACGGAGAGAAAAAACAAGGCTTTTCCCCATGAAAAAATACGCATTTAACGCGTGAAAATTATCACAGTAAAAATGCAGGACGCTCACGGGTTTTCCCGGTGAGATTCTAGGGCTAAGGCGTGGCCTAACCGCTAAACGCATGAAATTCATCGGGAAATCCGGTGAAACTGCTACCTGAAAAGGCATGAATTGAAGTCACGGGGAAAAGCCTTGTTTTTTCTCTCCGTGTACTAAGGGGTATTAAGGTCCGCTCTTTCAGAATCCGGGGTCAAAAAAGCATTTCGACCATCAGGGAAACCAATATGGCGCCCAAAATTGAGAAAATACAGAAAAAATAGTAAGGTTTTTTTTTGAAACACGCTTTTCACAACAATAAGATTTTTTTGAGCGGGTCTCATGTATACCTATAGGTGGATAAAATAGTTGTACTTTCCAACTGTGTACTTGACAACTTGAAAATTCAAGATGGCGGATCCAAAATGGCAGAAAAATCAGAGCAAAATACTTGATAAATAGCAAATGCATCATCAATATTCAAAAATTGATTTAAATCATCTGAAAATCACTTCTCGGGGGTTTTCGGGGTCGCTGATTACGAATATAAAGTTCGATTTAAAAAATTCAAAATGGCGGATCCAATATGGCGGATAAAATCTTTTTAAAATAGATAAAATTGCATGGAATTACTTACTCGGGGGTTTTCGGGGTCGCTGATTACCTGATTACCTGGTCGCTGATTTTTAAATTTTTTTAAAATAGATAAAATTGCAACACCGCCGATTTCTGATCTACAGTTCGATATTGAACAGAGCCAAGTATTGACATTTTTTTGTATCCTCAGTAGCTTGTTTTTGATATAAAACTCACGAGACAGCTCGCAGCCAGGTTTGCTGTACGTAAGTTCACTTAAATTTCTCGGGAAGGAAATATTTCTCGCGCTTTACATTTCTAGTCGTTTCGTGAAGAGTTTTAATTTATTTTATAGATAAGAATGTACTTATTGTTGCTTTTTTTAAGTGTTTTTAAATATCTGTTTATATTTTGTGTTTTCATTGCATTGTATTGCGTACAAATCATTTTTCGCAAAATATCATATTTGGGGTGATGTGTAACACTTTTTTTGGGGTGGACGTAACTACTTTTTACGTGCCATAACTGTGATTCACATGATGAATAAAAAATTATTTGTTATTTTCCTTTTATTATATTCCTTATTCAGTTATGAATAAATAAAAAATTAAACAACAAAAAATTTGTTTTTTTTGGTGAAATCTCCACTTTTTAGAGGTCAACTATACCTTAGTAAATTTTTTTTGGCAGATTTCGATTAGTTTACATTGAAAAAGCCTAAAATTAATAATTAAAGAGATTTTCATCGAT